GTCAGCGGTTCGAAACTACCAGCTGCACCGCGGGAGAAAGATGAGGCTTTCTACTCCCGTAAAGATTTACACCCTCGGAAACCCTATACAGGGTCTCTATGGGTCGGAACCGACTCGATGGCACTTAACAACAACAAGTATTAGTGTTGGAGTCCTGGTGACACTGCAGGATAATACACTGGACCATAGTCTGTTTGAACTGAAAGGTCAGTGGTTCAAACTCACCAGCTGCTCCTTGGAAATCTATATAGGCTGGCTATGAATCGGAACAGACTCAACGCACTTTACAACAGGAATAGTGTTAGAGTTTACCATTCTGATTCTCACTGGCCAGGTTCATTATTAGTCATGAAAGGTCAGGTGGGGTTCAGGGGAGAGGCAGGAAAGGTGAATGAGAAGGAGACAATCTCTTCTACAATCCTGTCATATTATTATGTCTTGGTGATGGTGGTGGTGGTGTGCCATGAAGTTGGTTCTGACTCATAGTGACCCTGTGTATAGGGTTTCTGAGGCTATAAATATTTACAGGAGCAGAAAGCCTCCTTTTTCTCCCTCAGAGTTGATTGGTGTGTTTAAACTGCCAGTCTTGCAGTTAGCAGTCTAGTGCTTATCCTACAGGGTTCCTTATCAAAGAAGTTCAGAAAGAACCCTCAAATGGAAACAACAACAATAAAAACCCCAACTTGACTAATTAAAAAACAACAACATATGAATAGTTATGTTGTTGTTAAGTGCTGTGGAGTCAGTTCTGACTCATAGCGACCCTGCACAGGGTTTCCGAGGCTGTAAATCTTTACGGGAGCAGAAACCCTCATCTTTCTTCCGTGGAACAGCTGGTAGTTTCGAACTGCTGACCTGTGGTTCCCAGCCCGATTCGTAACCACTACGCTACCAGAGCTCCTTATGAATAGTTATGTTGTTGTTGTTATGTGCCATCGAGTCGGTTCCGACCCATAGCGACCCTGTATAGGGTTTCCGAGGGTGTAAATCTTTACGGGAGTAGAAAGCCTCATCTTTCTCCCGCGGTGCAGCTGGTAGTTTCGAACCGCTGACCTTAAGGTTCGCAGCCCAACTCGTAACCACTACACTACCAGAGCTCCTTATAGGACATAATAAATTCTCTACAAATACAGTCCAGTGGTAACAGAAATGGCAGATGAAGTTTGTTAAGTGTTAGGTGTACTTCCAGAATTTGGGTATTGAAAATAGGAAGCCAAACATAGATGTTGAGGCTAGAAAATGGTATGATCAGAGTAGTAACTACTCCAGGGGAATATGTTGCATTGAAGTGAACTGGATGGACTAGTCGTTGGCCTTTCCAGGTAGGCTCTGGCAGAAACCTCCCTTGACCACAATTCGCTGGCCTCAGTATAGCCTCAGTTTGTTCTTGCCAAATCCTTAAGAGGGTTATATAGGAATTTTTACCAAACAGAGTCTGGAGAATTCTTGGACCCCATGGAAGCTTGTTGTCTTTGTTCTCTCCATCCCTCCCAGTGTCCAAACGCACCTTCTGGCAGGGCTGGCGGGAAAAGAGCCCACAAAAGTCTCTGATTGAACCTCAGGCACTGAGCCCAGAGCAGATGCTCCAGGACAAGCAAACCACCTGCATGAGGGTCTCTGAGGTGAAGTCCATGCTTCAGGAGCTCCTAGACTCCACCATGTTCAACAAGGGGGAGGTCAGGGCCATCAGGTACATGTCTGCTATGGTGGAGAACCTCAACAAGGCCTTCATACTTCAGCATAAGGAGAACAGGACTCTGGAAACCAAATACAGGTACATGAAAATAGAGATGACCAAAGAGCTCAGCAGTCAGAGGCTGTACTTCCAGAAGTCCCTCAAAATCCTCGAGAACAAGAGGGATGCCCTCCTGAAACAGGTAGAAATTTTAGGGGAAAAGTACCATGACCTTCTCCTGATTAAACATGCTCTAGAATTCCAGGTGAAGCAGGCTCAGAGTGCTAAAGGTCAAGCAGAAGATTCAGTCAAGACTTTTGTTGACTCCCCAGGCCTCTCTGAGAAAGATACCCTTCCAAGTAAAGCAATAGTCATGGAGATCCCAACAAGAGTCTTGGCCTCTCAACAGGAGCCCAAGAAAGAGGAGCAATTGTTTTTACCACATTCTCCAGATCCCATGGTTACAGCCTGGGACAGTGATGAGACACGTTCAGTTTATCAGCCACTTTACACCATGGCCGCACATTCAAGGATTGCAGATGTATACTGCAACAAGGACCCTGAAAGCTTTCCACCTGCATTGCCACCCTCAGTGGATTATAAATTTCTTAAGACAACAGAAAGACTTGTGGCAGATAGCCCAGATCACCAAGATGAAGACCAGGAGGACCTCAGCAAGGAAGAAGCAGAGGAGAAGGGAGAACTCCGAGTTCAGTTCCATTTTAGGAAGCAGCAGTCCTCAGAGAGTGAGGGGGGGCACTGGGAGGAGGAGGAACTCAACTGGCAGAGGCGGAAGCAGCAGTGGATGGATGAGGAGAAGAGGTGGAGGCAGCAGCAGCAGAAGTGGGCCCTGCTAGAGCAGGAGCACCAGGAGAAGCTGCGGCAGTGGGAGGTGGAGGAAGTGATCAGGGAGCAGCAGCAGAGAATTGTCCAGCCAGAAAAGGAGAAAGAGAGCTCCAGAAGGGAGCCAGAGCAACCAGGGGAGGACACAGAGAGGATGCTCTTCATGCCCACCAGTCGACGGAGGGAATTGGAGAAGGCAGAGTCATCATTGGTATCTTTGCCAACTCGAGTCCAGTCTGCTTGCCAAAGCAGGAGATCATACTTGCCCAGGTCCCCTAACATCCAACACTCTGCCTCAGGAAATCGGAGGACCATGAGTTCACCAGAACCTGTCCTGAAACTATGCTCACCCCGGGTTCCCACAAAGCCCAAGAAGTCCTCTTCCTTTCCTGTTACTGGGGCATCCATCCGAAAGGTGACCCGGCCCTCTTTGCAGACATCCTTGGCAGCTCCTAAGGAGAAGGTGTACCGGATGGCCATGGAGGCTCACAGAAAGAACCTAGAAGTCCTGAGTGAGGAGACTGAGCTGGGGCTGCCCCACTATCTTCGCAGCAAGGCCTTAGAGCTCACCACCACCACCATGGAGCTGAGCTCACTCAGGTTGCAGTACCTGTGCCATAAGTACATCATCTACAGAGGCTTCCAGAGACTCCGGTAGGTCAGGCTCACCCACCACCCACCAGGCACCCACCCACATCCATTTTGATGTATGGGCAGAGACAAAACCCAAAAGGAGAGAAGATCACAGGGCAAGGGAGGATGGGGTGAATCACCCAAGGCCTGGGCAAAGTCTCCCTGAAAGGGACTGGCAAAGCATGCCTGGCTTCAAGGCCATGGGCAACCCTTGAAGGTATGGGAGGTAGCATATATTGGTCGCCCTATAGTGTGCTTTTCCTCTAAGCCCCACTTTACTTTTTTCTCCTGTTTCTATCACACTGTCCATAACCCACCTAATATGCACTCTTCATTTCCTCTACGATCTCTTCCTTAATACTCCTCATCTGATACCACCTCCCACTTCCTTTATCCCTATTTCCCCAGCTCTCACCAACTTCTGCTTCTCTCATTGCTTCCAGGGATTACAGAAAACCAACACATCCCTGGTCAAGGCTTGTGGGGTAGGAGACCTTTCCAATCACTAATTACTTCTTCTCACTTCCCAGACAAGATGTGATCAACCACATACAAGTCATGCAAGCAACTGGGGCTACCTATAAGGCTCAGAACCTCTATGTCTTCCTGGAAAACATTGACCACCTACAGAACCTCAGGCTACAGTCCTGGACGAACAAACAGAAGGACCTAGCAGAGAAGCGCCGAGAGTGTCTGAGCAGCATGGTGGCCATGTTCCCCAAGGTGGGTCTCCTGTCCTGTGACTCCTCAATGTTGCCAAAGGAAGCACAGTTACGAGGGATGGAACTAGTGGGGATCTATGGCTGTGACTTTGGCTGAGGCCAATGGCAATTGAGGATGCAAGTAAAAGCTTCTGAACCACAGGTGAAGGCAGGGGGTGACTGGAGTGTAAGGAAAGGTGACTCTCCAATCTTGGGATCAAGGAAGAGAGAGAAACCTTTCAAAAAGGGCTATAAAGAAAAAGACCCTCTTGAAAGGGAGTTAGTAGCTGGATCCTTCAGTGCTGACTGTGTCCTGGAATTCTCCCTCCCCTGTGGCTATGCCAACCCTGCTTCTGGCTTGCTCTTCAGGCTTAGTGCACGGCTGTCATCTTGGGACCAACCTTCACCCTGATGCTGAGGACTCTTTGCTTCTCTTGGGGCATCTCCCCCTGGGTTCTGGAGTCCATATCTCTTCTTTCTTGCTTACCTTTCTTGTTTTAATGGAGCACAACCTCCACTCATTTTCTGATAAAGAGTGCTTGCGAAGTAAAATCAATAAGACTCTGTTTGTCTCACAATGTCTTTATTGACTATCTACCCTCTCTTTTAATTGATAGTTTGTGTGGGAATTAGATCCTAGATTAGAATTAATTTTCCCTCACCATTTTGAAGGCACTATTCATTGCAGGGGAGAAAGATGAAGCTTTCTGCTCCCGTAAAGATTTACAGCCTCGGACACCCTGTGCAGGGTTGCTATGAGTCGGAACCGACTCCACGGTACATAACCACCACCACCATTCATTGCCTTCTAGGTTCGGGTGTTACTGTTGAGCATCCTAAATCATTCTGAGTCCTAATCCTTTTGTTGTTGTTGTTAAGTGCCATCGAGTCAGTTCTGACTCTTTGAAAATTGCAGAATCCTCTTTGTCTCCAGTATACCATAATTTCATCATGATGAGATACCTGATATGGGACTATTTTTATCCATTTTGTTGGGCATTTAATCAGTTCTTTCAGTTTGGAAATTTTTGTTCTTTAGTTCTGCAATGTTTTCTCAAATTATACCTTAGACCATCAGTCCTCAAAGTGTGGTCCACTGACCCCTAGAAATCCCTTTGTCCCTTTCAGGAACTCCATGAGGTAAAAACTATTTTCACCACACCAGGAGCACCATTTTTACTTGAAAGAAAAATAAAAAGATGGTATTAGGAAGGTATTTCTTAAAAATTGAATGAAGCAAGGAAAAAATAAAACAAAAACTTGACAGCACTATTTGTTATCAATGATAAAATTTGAGCTTTCAAGTTTCATAGTCTTGATTTTTAAATATTGTTGTTGTTGTTGTTATGTGCCGTGGAGTCAATTCCGACTCATAGCGAACCTATACAGGGTTTCCGAGGCTGTAAATCTTTATGGGAGCAGAACGCCTCATCTTTAAGTTAACCTTATATTTCTGAGATAAACCTTATTTGGTCATGATATATATTATTTTTTGTAAGATTTGATTTGTTAACCTTTTGTTTAAATTTTTTTGCATCTATTACATGAAGGACATTGGTCTGTGGTTTGGTTTTTTGTTTTTTCCTTGCAATGTCTTTGCCTACTTTGGGTCTACTATCCTCATAGAATGAATTGGGTTATGTTTCTTCATCTTATATTTTCTGGAAGAGTTTGTGTAAAATGTGTATTACGTCTTACTTAAATGTGTAGTTTAATTTACCTTAAATGTTTGGCAGAATTTGAGTGTGGAGGTTTCATTGTGGGAAAGTTTTCAACTGTAAATTAAATTCTTTACTAGACACAATAATATTCAGGTTATTCTTGCATTAATTTTGGTAGTTTATGTCTTTCAGGGAATTGTTTCAATTTCATCTCAATTTGTTGGCATAAAATCTTTTATAATATTCCTTATTTAGCCTTGTAATATCTGCAGAATCTATAATGATATTCCTTTTTTTACTGTTGATATTGGTAATTTATGAATTCTCTCTTTTTTCCTGGTAAATCTGGATAGAGTTTTAACTGGAAGACCTAATTTCCAGTTGTACTGATTTTTCTTTATGGTTTTATTGTCTTCTATTTCACCAACTGTGTGTATGTATATAAACCTTTTCTTGGCTTTTTACAGTAGCATTCTCATACAATATTTGTCCTTTTGTGATTAACCAGTTGCACTCAGCATAATGCCTTCTAAGTTCATCTAAGTTATGAGGTATTTTACAGATTCCTTATTTTTCAGTGTTGTGTTGTATTCCATTGTGTGCATGTGTATTTCACTGGTTTTTTTTACTTTAATCTTTATTATTTACTTCCTTCTGCTTATTTTGCTCTTGCTTTTCAAATTTCTTAAATTAGAAAATTAGATCATTGATTTAAAATCTTTCTTTTTTAATAATATAAGCCTTTAATGCTATAAATTTTCCTTTAAGCACTGCTTTAGTCGCAGCCCACAAATTCTGATGTTATGTTGTATTTTTATTCAGATCAAAATACTTTTTAATTTCCCTTACGATTTCTTTCTTTGTCTCATGGACAAAAACAATTTACAAATATTTGGAGACTTTCAAGACATTTTTCTGATTATTGGTTTCTAGTTTAATTCATTAAACTAGAACATACATTGATTTTAATTGTTTAAAATTTATTGACACTTTTTTTTTAAGTTTTTTATTGCAAATTATGTGATAGTTTACATGGGAAAACATTAGCTTTACATTCATCATATCACAAAAATCCTCACCACTGGACCAATAAACAATATTCTTATCTACGGAGAAAAGATTGAAGTTGTCAAGGACTTCATTCTTCTTGAATCAACTATCAACACTCGCGGAAGCAGCAGTCAAGAGATCAGACGATTGCATTAGGCAAATCTGCTGCACAAGACCTTTTTAAAGTGTTGAAGAGCAAAGATGTCAGCTTGAAGACTAAGGTGCGCCTGACCCAAGCCATGGTATTTTCAATAACCTCATATGGATGTAAAAACTGGACAGTGAATAAGGAAGATCGTAGACAAATTGATGCCTTTGAATTGTGGTGTTGGAGGAGAATACTAAAAGTGCCATGGACTGCCAAAAGAACCAATAGATCTGTTTTGGAAGAAGTGCAGCCAGAGTGCTCCTTGGAGGCCAAGATGGCTAAACTTCATCTCTCATACTTTGGACATATTGTCAGGAGAGAACAGTCACAGGAGAAGGATGTCATGCTGAATAAGATGGAGGGTCGGAGAAAAAGAGGAAGACCCCCAACGAGATGGATCGGCCAGGTGGCATCATTGATGCCGTCAAGTGTGGCAGCAGTGGTGAGGTTGGCCCAGGATTGGACATTGTTTCGTTCTGCTGTGCAAGGGGTCGCTATGAGTTGGTTCGAATTCGATGGCACCTGACAACAACAACAATTGGTTGCTTAAGATAGGAGAATATATCTGGTCCCTGTTATTCCATTATAGCCAGGAACAGACAGCATTTTGTCTGTTATACGTAAGGTTGGCACGAATTTTGATTTTCATCAGTAAGTATTTTAAGTTCTTATTCCATGTCCTCATTTGAATCTGGCTTGAACCTGGCAGTTCCCTGCTGATGCACTGTTGCTACTGTTTTTTAATTATCTTCACCAAAATTTTACTTGCATGTAATATTAACGATATTGTCCAGTGATTTCCACATACCATTGGGTCACCTCTCTTTGGAATCAGCACAAATATGGATCTCTTCTAATCATTTGTCCAAGTATTTGTCTTCTAAATTTCTTGGCATATGAGTGAATGTCTCCAGTGCTGCATCAGTTTGTTGAAAGATTTCAATTTGTAGTCCATCAATTCCCAGAGCCTTGTTCTTTCCCAATGCCTTCAGTGCAGCTTGAACTTCTTCCTTCAGTATCATTGATTCTTGATCACATGCTACCTCTTGAAATGGTTAAATACCAACTGTTTCTTTTGGGGGGCAGTGATTCTGTGTATTCCTTCCATCTTCTTTTGATGGTTTCTGCACCATTCAATCGTTTGCCTATAGAATCCTTCAGTATTGCAAGCCAAGGCTTACTTTTTTTTTTTTCTTCAGTTCTTTCCGTTTGAGAAATATTGAGTGAGTTCTTCCTTTTTGGTTTTCTAACTCCAGGTCTTGGCACATTTCATTATAATACTTTTCTTTTGTCTTATTGAGTTGCCCTTGAAATTTTCTGTTTTGCTCTTTTACCTCCTCATTTCTTCCATTCACTTTAACATCTCTATGCTGGAGAGCAAGTTTCAGATCTCTTCTGACATCCATTTTGGTATTTTCTTTCTTTGTTGTCTTCCTAATGACCTTTTGTTTATTTCCTATATGATGATCTTGATGTCATCCCACAACTCATCTGGGTTTCAGTCTTTAGTGTCCAATGCATCAAATCTTTTGTTGAGACAGTCTCTAAATTCAGGTAGGATATGTTCAAGATCATATTTTGGCTCCCATGGACTCCAATTATTAATGGATGTTTGCAGCTATTTCTCCTCATTTTGAATTGCGCTCCATCAGCAAATGAATGTCCTGAAAGCTTTACTCCATTCACGTCATTATGGCCAACTCTACTTTGAGGAGGTAGTTTTTCCCCCAGTCACATTTTGAGGGTTTTCCAACCTGAGGGGCTCATCTTCAGGCACTATATCTGACAGTATTCTCTTACTATTCGTAAGGTTTTCAGTGACTAACATTCAGAAATAGTCTGCCTCTCCTTTTTCCTAGTCTGTCTTAGTCTGGAAGCTCAGCTGAAACCTGTCCACCATGAATGACTTTGTTGTTGTTGTTGTTATGTGCCGTCGAGTCGGTTCTGACTCATAGTGATCCTGTCTAGGGTTTCCAAGGAGCAGCTGGTGAGCTTGTACCGCCAACCTTGTGGTTCAAATCAACCTTGCAATCCAGTTCATTAACCCACAGCGCCACACCAGGTCTTTGCTAGTATTGAAAATACCAGCGGCATAACTTCCAGCATCACAGCAACACACAAGCTACCACAGTACAACAAACTGACAGACAAGTTGAAATAATTGTCTATATATGAATTTTTTTAAGGTAAACTTGCTATCATATAGAAGTTCTTGAAACATTTGACATTGAAAATTGATCCAAAATAGCATAGGAATTTTATAAGATGCAAAAAGTCATAAGACCAAAGAGATAATAACTTGAAATTTTGGATATTAGAATAAAAAACTCCTTTATTTCCCTATCTTGATTTTTTATGATATATATTAACTTTTCTTCTTTGGTTTCTTTTAACTTTTTTCCTTGCTCATTGTCCAGATTCTGTACATGATGGAGAAAACAAGAACTACCTCAGCAAATAAGAATACATATTCTTTGTTTTTTGAGACTTTTTTTTAATGTTTTATTGTGAATTATATGATAGTTTACATGAGAGAACCTCAGTGCCATATTCATTCCATCGTTTATCATTACATTGTCATGGTTCCAATCCCCTCCATGCATCGTCTTCCTACCAAAGGGCATATCCTAGAAGCCCGTGCTCTACACTCCCCCTCCCCGCTCAGTCTTCAGCCCACAGTTCCTCTCCCTCTCTGGATCCAAAGTCCCCAGCCGCTTCATCCCTCCATGTCATCATCTCTGTCTCCATCTCAGGCATCCCCAGTTCTCTGGGTGGGGTCCCGTTCTCGGCTCTTATCTGTTGGTGGTCCCAGAGACCTCCGCTCCTAGAGTGGAGAAATAATCTCTCTCTTCCTTGCTACAAAACATCTACCCTTGCATTTCCAACCCTCACAATCCTTCTTGATAACCATTATTCACTACAGTATCGCACGTAACCCATCTGTATTTAATTTCATCAGCTCCACCTAGATAAATTGGATAGTACTCACTGGTGATTCTGCCTTCCTCCATGCCCCCTAGCTCTAGGTTCCCTCTTGAAAGCTTGTAAACCAGTTACGTCTTGCCTTTGTAGTCCCTTCCTCCCCATTTGGGTATCCAATGTCCAAGTTGCCCCTCTCTGTCTACTCTGGGTGTGGAGGGGGTGGGAATGTTTCTTTCTGTAAGGATTTGTTGCCTCTTTTGTGTCACTGCATTCGTATGCATACGTCAAGTTCATCAGCTTGGATCAGCTCAATCTTCTTCCTCCCCCCCCCAACCCCCCTTCTTTCTTCTCCTGGTTGAGCTCTGATCATCCAGTCATCCAGTTCCGGTCACGTGGGTGTCATCTGCAAGTGTGGTTGTTCTTGTGCACATGCCCTCTCTTCCCATCAGCTGGCAGCTCCATTCTCCACTTGAGTCCTCCGTGGCCATGTCACTGACTCTGAGCCCAGGAGTCCTCGGGTCTCCTCGCACTGCTTGCCAACCAGGTCCCCAACCGGGTCCACAGAAGCCCTCTGAATATTGTGAGGCTTAGTTCGTCGCTTCATTGCTGCCTTTACCCCATTTCTCCCCAATGGTGATGCATGTGTTTACCAATCCGAGCTTGCATATCCACCAACTCTCAGTTTTGTGGGGCGCCTATGTTGGTGGGACCCAACCGACTGCCCCAATGTCTCCTAGGGGAGCGACCCGTTTGTTCCTGTAGTAGCAGTCCATCTGTCTCCATTGTGTCGTGTTTTTCCTGTAGGTCTTCCATTCGAGACATATCTTTTGTTCTTCTCACAGTTCCAGGCTTGTCAGCTCGTCCCTTCAAGTAGGGATTTCTCATCTCTGGTGATCTGGTTGTAGTTCTGGTTTCTACCTAGAATACATACTCTTTGGAATCATTAATAATGTGTCCCTAGGAGCTCTGGTAGCACAGTGGTTACGAGTTGGGCTGCCAACCACAAGGTCAGCAGTTCAAAACTACCAGTGGTTCCGGGAGAGAAAGATGAGGTATTCTGCTCCCGTAAAGATTTACAGCCTCAGAAACCCTGTACAGGGTCACTATGAGTTGGAATTGACTCCATGGTACTTAACAACAAAAACAACAAAAGTATTCAAGCAGAGTCCTGGTATGGATAAGCACTGGACTGCTAACTCCCTAACTCCACCAGTCGCTTCTTGGAACTCCTATACCAGGTTGCTATGAGTCAACAGCACTTAACAACAAGTATACAAGCACTAAGTTTACATCTCTAGCCATCCTTTTAAGTGGCAGGATTAGCCCTGTGCACCTGACATACTGTATTGGACTTTTTCTTGCTAGACTCTTTGAAGATTCTCCAACATTACATCTTTAGGATAAGTAAACCACAGCTCTGGGTTTAGTCTCAAGGGGGCTAGGGAAAGGAGGACTGGCTTTGGTTTCCTCTACCCTTTCATCTGCTACCAGGAGCAGAGACATGGTCCCCAGGGGAATAGTCAATGACTTAGGGGATTTAGAGATTCTCACAGCTGTGACCTCAGAGCCTGCTAAGATTTCACCAAGAGTTGGGCCAGAAGGTATCCTCCCTAGTGTTGAGCAGTATTAGCCTGGGACTGGGGGAGGCAGTGTGCTGAGGGATTCAGTGTAAGTGTTGGCCTCAGGCAGTTGGAAAGACATTGACCACAGACGTTTCTCTCAACTCAGTTTCCTATCACTTTATACTAGTCCTGATAATCTCCTGTAGATGTCTTAACTTGCTAAATTGGTTTGAGAGTTGAGAAGAAAAGGGACCATATCACAATTCTTTGGCTGTGAGGGTTCCCCCAGCTCCTTGCCCAATGCCAGAGCCAGGACCAAATAAAAAGATACACACAGAGCATGCCAGGCACAACCTGGCCTCATACCATAATAGTCTCAGAGATCTTTCCAGAGCCTCAGAGGTTTATCATTGGCGGGACTCCCCAGTCTTTACCTTTACCGCTCAGCCCAAGCCCAGCACAGGCACCCATAGTCAAGCAATGCCCCCTCCCACCTTAAAGAAGGGATCACTTCTTGTCTTCCTGATGCCTCTGTGCTGGTCCACTAGTTCCAGCTGGAATGGAACACTCGCTTGAACATCCCTGTGGTAACTTCCCCAAAGCCAAGGAAAAGCAATCCATCCCCAGCCTTCTCCCGGCGCATCCGCTCCAGCAGCTCCTCCAACAAGTTTCTGGAGCACTTTACGTCCAAGCAGCATGAATGTGTTCCCCTGAGGATGGCCCGGTAGGTACATGGAGGCTGGGGAGTGGGGGATGGTGGGCAGGGGGTGGCAGGGAACTGAATGTATAGGGATGCCACATGGCAAGGGGTGGCCATAATGGGAGGGCTGGTGACTCAGCAAAGGTACATCTATGCAGAGTTCAATGTTTGCAAAGTGCCTATCTTCTCCACCACCCTGCCAAGATCTGACCCATGGCCCCCAAGGGGGATGTATGTCATGGTATGGTATGTGGGTTTTAGGGACCAGCCTGACTGAGGTAGTTCAAACTCTGCAACTGAAAGACTTAGGACCCCCAGTTGAGAGCTGACAGAGATTTCTATCTTGAGCATCCATCAACACCTGCCATTGGTCTATAAACAAACCTGATCTGGAGGAAGACCTGAGTGTCTGGGAAAGATGGCAGAGGAGCCGACCCTCTGCAATAAAACAAAGTGAAACAGATGCAGATGGTGGTCCTGGAACCTTGAGCACCAGAAGATAGGACAGAGGAGTGGATTAAGTACTGACTGGAAGAAAGAAGCTAAACAGGAGCAATGAGAGAGAAGAAAAAATGCCCAACTGGGTTGGTGTGGAGTGGTGAGTCTATCTTGAGCTTTTGAGAGGTACTATTGAAACAGTAGTGTGTGGGCAAAGGACAGGGCTGGAGGTTGGTGGCCACGGGGGCACTTCTCCCTTGTTCCTGTACCCACTTGGTAGACCAGAGCATGGCCAGATCCTGTCCTCACTAATCCAGCAGTCAATGGCACCCCCTCCTGTGAAGCCTCTGCTGTGCCTGAGGTTGGACACCAGGCATAGCACCCTGCTTCAGGAGGCACGTGATCCAGCCCTGAACTACACAAACAGTGAACACAGAATTAAGTGCATTCACACTTCTAGTATCTACCACATCCACCAGGAGATAGATAGATGGTGAGTGCTTGAGAATACAACAAAATACAATCATGAGCTAAATACAATGTCTTGGAGAAAAAAGACAATTTCAGCTTACACAAAGAAACAAGACAGAGTGCCTCAAACAAGTAAACAAAATACAAAGCCAGAAAATAAAATAGCAGACATGGCGTCAGAACTACCTGATAAGGAATTTTAAAAAATGCAAATTAGGCAATTTCAACGGATTGAAAGAAAGATTGAGAAGACTACAGATGATAGCCAGGAAAACATAGACAAAACTATGGAAAAATCAGGAGACAAACTGACAAAATAATTGAAAAAGTGAGAAACATACAAAATCAGCAATTAGAAAGCCAGAAGATTAACACTGATTTCAGAAATAGATAAACACTGAAAGGGCAAAGAAATAGAATTGAATCAATGGAAAGCCGAATTACTGAGCTTGAAGAAAAATTTCTAAACAATCATCTTTTAGAGAAGCAATCAAAGGCACGTAACCAAAAGAGAAACAAACAAATATATATATATCCTAAGATTTATGTGCAGCACTCTCAAGAGGAATAGAAATTCCAGAACAGGAAGAGACAAAAAATCTATAGAGAATATTGTCCAAGAATTATTGGAAGAAAACTTCCCTAACATCATTAAAGATGAGAAGATAGTCATTCAAGAAGTCGAAAAAGCTCCAAACAGGATAAGACCCCAAAAGAAAAGCACTAAAAAATATTGGAATCAAACTTTTCAAAACCAAAAACAAGGAAAGAATCTTGAGAACAACTCAGGAAAAATGAAAAATTACCCACAGAAGAGAAATAATAAGACTAAGCTCTAATTTCTGGGCAGGAACAATGCAGGCAAGAAGAAAATGGACAGGGATTGAGGCATAGTCTGAATGGGTAAAAGAGGGGAAATAATGTTAAGATGCTTGACTGTTTTATGAATATTTGTTTCTCTTGCCTACTACTGTGAAATAGACACCTGAGTGGAATAGAAATGAATATTGGGAAACATGATTACAGAAAACTTCTAAGCCTGCCTTCAGCCTATAACTGATTGGAATACCTAAAAGGGGTGCTAGAACTTGCCCAGTGAAAGAAGCTTCTTGCAAAGCCTTTGCAGGGTATAAGACCTTAGGTGGAATACTGATCCCCATCCAGAACCTTCTGAGTTGGGAAATTCCCACTTGAAAAGACAAGCCGACCAGCCTGGAGCAGCTAGAGGAACAGAAGATACTTCTTGAATGAAAGACCAGCAGGGAAAAACAAAAACGACAGTCTGATTGGCTACCACAAGAACTAGCAAGTTGTTCACAGGGGAGCCATCAAGGCAAGCAATCAAGTCCCTTCAGGACAAACTCACCTCCCAAGACTGAAACTCAAAGGGAATACATGATCAAGCATGTAAGCTTTGCTGGCGACCACGTTGGTCTACTGGTGAAAGGAAGTGGGGGAAAGCAGCAATGAAGAGGTGGGCTGAGTCCAACCAAGTTACATAGACCTCCATTGACCTGGAGTATAGTGAGAGCTGGTTGGCCCAAAGTACGGTGAGACCTGGGAACTCCTGAGCCCATGGGCAAGGGCATGGCCACAGAGGGCTGGAGCTGAGAGTGAAGCATCCAGTTGATATGAAGTGAAGAGATATGCACAAGGGCACCCAAACTTGCAGATTGTGCCCATTGGACCACTTCAATGGGTGGATGTTCAGAACCCAACTAGAGGAAGGAAAAGAGGAATATATCTATATCTATATATATAGATCTATATATAGTTGTTGTTAAGTCAGTTCCTACCCATAGCGACCCTGTATAGGGTTTCTGAGGAGTAGCTGGTGAGCTTGAACCACTGATCTTGCAGTTCAAATGGCTTTGCAGTCTGGCACATTAACCTACAGTGCCACACCAGGACTCCACAAATATATATATATTTGTTGTTGTTAAGTGCCGTGGAGTCGGTTCCAACCCATAGCGACCCTGAACAAGGTTTCTGAGGCCGTAAATCTTTATGGGAGCAGAAAGCTTCATCTTTCTCCCGCGGAGCAGCTGGTAGTTTCAAACTGCTGGCCTTGCGGTTCACAGCCCAATTTGTAACCTCTACGCTACCAGAGCTCCATATATATATTTTTTTAATTTAATTTTTTTTTTTTTAAGAAAACAAGTGTAAATTGCTACAATCTGATGAACTTGACCTTTACTTATGGATGTAGTAGCTTAAAATATCAACTAAGAGGGAAAGAATCTTTACAGCAAGAATCATTCCCACCCCCTCTGTATACAAGGTTGATAGGGATGGGCAACTTAGACTTTGGCTACCTAAAATGAGGGGGCTGTAAAGGTACGAAGTGACTGGCTTACAAGTTTTCAAGAATGAGTTTAGATTCAGAGTGTGTTGAGGAAGGTAAAATCCCCATTGAGTGGTTTTCATCCTGTCTAGACAGGTCTGGTGAAAGGAGATGGGGACAAGACTCTCATTAGTCAATAGTGAGTAATTGTTATAACTAATTGCGATTGTCACAACTGTAAATGTAGAAGTTTTGTAGCAAACAGGGATGCGTGATCCATCTTACAGTCCCAGAGTGGAGGACCCTGGGATCATCAAGGGTGAAGAGCGGAATTGGAGTGTGGGACCCTACCGAGAGAGGTGGCAAAGCCAGAAATGGAGGCAGAGATGATGATGTGGAGAGATGAAGCAGCTCAGGATTCTAGACTCATGGAGGGAGAAGGAATGTGTGCTGGTGGCTGGGGGGCAGGGTGTGCCCTTTGGCTGTTTGAATGATTGTATGTTCCTGAGTGTTTTGGTGCACATCCAAAAAAACACAAAGGGAATAGAAGCAAATACTGTTGAATGATAACGCTCCCCTATGTAGACTATTGCTCAATTCACAACAAAAACTTAAAAAGAAGAAAATGGAATAATATATATAAAACTCTGAAACAAAAAACTGCCAACCAAGAACTGCATATTCAGCAAAACTGTCCATCAAATAAATGTGAGGGTGAAATCAGGTCATTTCCAACAAACAGAAATTAAAAGAATTTGTAAAAACCAGACCAACCTTACAAAAAAAAAAAAATATTAAAGGGAGTTCTTTGGACAAAGGGACAAAGAACCAAAAACAGCAGACAACAACCGGACACTAACATATATGATGATATCTCCTAGACTCAAACCATATATAGAAGTATGCAAAGTAAAACAGACCTATGAGACTGAAAAGAGAGAATCAAAGATACAGTTGCAACAACAACAACAAAAACCCCATAAAGTAAAAAGTAGGGAATAAACCTGTTAAAGAACTTCTAAATGAAGAGGAAATCAAATAGATTTCATGAAAAAAACTAAAAAAATAAATAAATAAAACTAACTGCTTACTCCTAACCCTAGCTCAACCCTCATCCCTAATACTAACCCTGTTGTTGTTGTTAGGTGTCGTCAAGTCAGTACCGACTCATAGTGACCTTTTGAACAACAGAATGAAATACCGCCTGGTCCTGCACCAGCCTCACAATCATTGCTGCCACTGTACCAATCCATCTTGTTGGGGGTCTTCCTCTTTTCTCCAACCCTCCACTTTACCAAGCCTCCAGGCACTGATTCCTCTTGACAATATATCCAAAGTATGAGAGATGAAGGCTGGCCATCCTGGCTTCTAAGGAGCATTCTGGCTGTACTTCTTCTAACACAGATTTGTTTATTCTTTTCACAGTCCACTAACCCTAATCCTAACCATAATCCTAACAATAAATGAAGTGAAGTCTTAGGTCTAGCTAAGACCTAGCCATAGTCCCAACCCTAACTCTCACACCTTACTACTATCCACCCTTGCCCCTCCCAAAACAAAAACCAAGCTAGATGCTTCCCACCATATGACCCTTCCCTCCCCTCCCTCCTTCCCCATCCCCCAGCTTAAAAAAGGGATGACTGAGAGTCATTAGGCAGCTAAGAAGATCCACATCCCCACCCACCTTAGTGTGGCCAATTCAGAACTTCAGTTCCAGGGCAGGTACTAAAGGTACCAGAGCTACCATGGCAGTCTCTTCCAGTAGCTCCTCAGCTAGAAGCCCATAGAGGTGTGTGAAGGGTAGGGGGTGACAAGGATGACAGTGACAAACTCTCTTTGAAAAGGGAAGAAAACAAGGCCCAGTGTCTAGGGCCTTGTGGTCCTGGAAAACATGTTGATTCTCAGTCTTTTTCTCCCTGTGTTTAACTCTCTTTACTTCTCTGTCACCCAGCCAACAGGGAAGTCAAATGGAGGCTGTCTGGAAGACTGATGTGGCCTCCTCCAGCCACCCAACAGAAAAGAAGACTCCCCTCAGTCTGCAGTGGGACCAGCTAGGGGGGTACCCAGATATTCCTCGGCTGTTGGCACTGGAAGTGCATTCCTCCTACCACAAAAGTTTGATGTCCCTTAAAACCCGGTAAGTGCAAGTCTGCATGGTTCATCTGAATTTAGGAGGACCTTCCCACAAAGGGCAGGGGCTACAGTACACACTGTTTCTGCCCAAGGGCCCATTAATAAAGACATTAATAACTAAATATTAATAATGACTTTATGTGCCATCAGCTTGGGTTCCCATGAAAACTCCATGTTACTTCTCTCAAAAGACTTTACATATTTTTACAACTTTACAGAAGTTTTTCCTTCACAGTTGTTCCCTTAAAAAGTACATTAAATTGCTAAAAAGCCATATCTTGCCATCGGCCTGTGTGAGAGCCAGGTATAGGATTGGAGAGATGAGGGAGGTTCTGAACAAGATGATACATCAAAGACTCAGGCATGGCCATCTTTGGTATTTTCATCTCCTTTGTTATTGTTAGGTGCCATCGAGTCAGTACCAACTCATAGCGACCTTATGCACAGCAGAAGGAAACACTGCCCGATCCTGAGCCAACCTCACTATTGTTGCCATGCTTGAGTCCATCAATGCTGCTACTTGGCCAATCCATCTATTTTTTAAATGTTTTATTGTGAATTATGTGATGGTTTACATGGGAGAACATTAGCTTTACATTCATCTTATCGTATATCATTTCATTGCCATGGTTACAATCCCCTCCATGCATCATCAATCAACCAAAGGGTATACCCTGCAAACCTGCCCCCCCCACCCAGTTGTCAGCACACAGCCCCTCTCCCTCTCTGGGTCTAGAGTCCCCAGACGTTCCATCTCTCCACATCATCATCTCTGCCTCCATCTATGGTATCACTGCTTCTCTGGGTAAGGTCATCAGGCACAATGGGATCAGACCATTGTGATCCATAGTGTTTTTTAGTATAATTTTATTCGCTTTGTTGCTACTGTTGTGAGAGTAAACACAGCAAAACATGCATCAATTCAACAGTTTTTGCATGTGCCATTTAGTGACACTGAGTACACTCTTTAAGTTATATAACTATCTCACCCTCCTTTTCTGAGTTGTTCCTCTCCTTAACAAAACCTCATTGCCTGCTAAGGTTTCTGTCATTGTAGTTGTCTCATATATTATTGTTGTTGTTAAATCCCATTGAGTTGGTTCCAACTCATACTGACCTGCTATAGGGTTTCCGAGGAGTGGCTGGTGGGTTTGAACCACCAACTTGGTGGTTAGTAATCTAATGTTTATCCTATAGTGCCACATTAGGATTTCCATATAGATGATCCCATATAGACAGTTCTTAAAAGAGCACAATGCTCAAGGCCTACATTCTTTATTAGTTAAGCTAATAAGCATTGTTTGGTTTTAAGATTTCAGGGGATATTTTTGGTTTAAGGTCTAAAAATTATCTCAAGGCAATAATTTCAGGGGTTCATCCAACCTTATGGCTGCAGGAAATCTAGATTCCATGAGAATTTGAAATTCCATACTGCATTTTATCCCTTTTGATGCAAATTCTTCTATAGAATCTTTGATCAAAATGTTCAATAATTATAGCTGGGCACCATTCAGTTCTTCTGGTCTCATGACAAAGGAGGCAGGTGTTCATGGAGGCAATTAGCCACACATTCCATATCCTCCTCCTAGTCCTGACTCTCCGTCTTCTGTTGTTTCAGGTGAATAGAATACAGACTTTTCATGGACGGGTTTTTAGAAGTAGATCAGCAGTCCTTTCTAATTTGTCTTAGTCTGGAAGCTTTGCTGAACCCTGTTTAGAGTCATAGCAACATGCAAGCTTCCACTGACCAATGAATGGGTGAGTCCAGTGCTTAAGGCGCTTCAGGAAATTGAATTCTAAAACTAAACTACTATTGCCCCCACCTGGTAGATGTTGTTGTTGTTAAGAGCCGTTGAGTCGGTTCTGACTCATAACAACCCTGTATAGGGCTTCCAATGGTGAGCTTGAACCTCCAACCTTGTGGTTCAAACCAACCTTGCAGTCCAGATCATTAAACCATGGTGTCACATCAGGACTCCACCTAGTGGATAGATATCTGGTTTTCTATTTCTGAATAGTCTCTAAGGTGTGTGTGTTGTAAACTGATTTATTTATTTTAACTGGGAGTGGGAAAGGGTTGACTAGAAAACAGAAATGTGACTCACTAAAACAACACAGTGGGGAAAAAACAAAAAACACACACAGTGGCAGAACTCAGTGACACAGAAGTTACACCTCTTGGAGATGTAGCTAAACTTACCCTAGACCCTCCCTGTAGCTTTGGCTAGTGTCTCTGAGCCCGTTTTGCCTTCCCTCTCCACATCCTCACTAGTTTCTGGGCTCTATCCAGCATCCATTTGAATCTGAGGCCAATCCCTTTGTTCTTCCCACATGTAAATATATGCATGCACACACTCCACTTGATCCCAAGCATTTCATGATTTTAGTAACTCTGAACATTTAAAGGGATGCTGTGGAAAGAAACTGACATGGAACAGCATAGCAAAGCTGCCCTTTTTCTTTTCCTCTCTCAACCCCTCCCTCTTTGGTACAGTATGCCAAATTCTAAAATTTCTTCTTGTCTGAAGCAGAGCTGTTCCTCCCACATCCAGGCCTCTACCAGGATCTCAGCTTTTAGCCTAAGCACTTATCAAAATATTGTTCCCAGCAAAGACAGCTTCCCCTTTCTAAGGGAATATAATTTTCTGCTTCTTTTTCCAACTCTGTGCAAGTTTATTCAATTTATCACACTAGCAGATTTCTAGACAAAGCTCTGCTGCTGCTACTTCTTATCTGCATCCCAGGTTGGCACTACTTCCCTGGTCATCAGGCTGCTTCCTGTGATGCCCTGGGATCCCACTCTTTAACTAAAGCTCTCTGACACTGTCAGGGCTACTGTTGCTTTGGGGTTAGGGATTATGTTTTCCTTGTGAGTACTTTGTGTGTGTCTGTCCTTCTGGAGATGACGCTCTGTATTCACTCCCCAAAGTACATCTTCTCCTTGACCACCTGCCCCTGGTCCCCGTGAGTCCTCATGTTCACTTACTATGTAGGTCCAGGTCACTCACCACTTTGTAGCCTGGCAACCTCTCCAGTTTCCCTGTCCACAGTGTCCAGTTCACAGCTCAGACCAGGTTCATACTAAGGACTGACCTCACAAACTGACTGGCATCAACAACCCATCCCACCTATAGGCCTGCCCTGGGGATGGGGGAATTGGGGACATCTTTTTCGAGTGTGGGAAAGGGCTACCCATCCTCACACTGCGGTTTGGGACTAGAAAGGCTGTGTTCCTCAAAACCCTGCAGGCTACCTTCTCCAAAAGCTTTCTCTGCTTTGTCTTACAACTATTTCCCCTGGGGCTAGCTGTCTACTGGTCAGATAGCTTTTTGTGTCTGTACACACCAATAGCTGTCTGCACTTTAAGAAAAACCTTTGGCGGCTCATCCCTGTCTTACTCAGGGCCTGTTTCTGCACAGGTAGAGTACATGCTGGTTACATTTGTGTGCTCCAAGATATTCAACATTTGGGACAGGAGAGGGCTTGGTATCTGGTAAAGAGATTAGGTGGGAGTGGGCAGGCAGAAATGTGGATGGGGAGGAAGGAGAGAGAAGGGAAGAGGTCATATTCTGTGAAGTAAGACAAGAGGTAGCATTCACAAAAAGGGAAACAGAGACCTTGGGATTTGGCAGAAATGTGTTTAGCAGTTCCATGTCCAGGTCATGGCTGGCCGGGCTCTGGGCTAGAAGGGCACTCACATTCGCAGGCTTCAGTTACTCCTCCACCTATGATTCTATTAATTCTTTCAGTGTCGCCATGACCGAAAGAAAAGAAAGGCAGGAATCCACAGATGAGTCAGCTGAGCTTCTACACAAAAAGTCCAGTGAATCCCAGCCTGGAACTCTGGAAGAGCCAGAAGGACCAGATAGTACCAGTCCCCACTCCATCCCTTAGCCAGTGATTCTCAAACTTGAAGGTAAATAAAAATCATGCGGGGGCTTATTACAAATGCAGGTGCCCATTGAGTGCTTTTAAAGATACTCTGGGTGTTTGTTGCTGAATGGTCCTAGAACTTTGAGAAACACTACTTCCCTCTTTCAGTCCCCAAACTGTACATTTTAAATAAAATAGAGGTTTGTTTGTTTAAATTATCTGTCTCGTTTCTGAAAACCACTCCTCCAGGTTCATGGCCATCTAGACACTGAATTAGGTGCCAATCAGAAATTTTTCAAGTGTCGTCTCTGTCCTTTGGGAACCAGCAAGCCAAGATGGCCATAATTAATGCCTGGCACATAGAAGGTGTCTGCATGGATTGAATTTTGCCCCCACTCAAAATCCTAACCACTCTGGTGGCATTGTAGGGTAAGCATTGAACTGCTAACTGCAAGTGTGGAAGTTCAAACCCAACAGCTGCTCCAAGGGAGAAAGATGAGACTTTCTGCTCCTATAAAGATTTATGGCCTTGGAGCTTTCAAGAGGAAGCCTAGAATCAGAGGGTGTGGGGGAAGGTAGAATCTCCACTGAGTGGTTTCCAACCTGTCTGGATGGGGCTGGTGAAAAGAGATGGGGATAAAGACTCTTGTGGTTAAATAGTGAATAACTGCTATCAGCACTGATTGTGAGTGTTGCAAATGTAAACGTTTTGTAACAAAAGGAGGGGAGTGGTTGATCTTGCAGTAGAGGAATAGAAGACCCTGGCATCATCAAGGAAGAAGAGTGGAGTGCAGGACCCTATCCAGAGAAGCAGCAACATCAGACATGGAGGCAGAGACCATGATGTGGAGAGATGGAGCTGCTGGGGACTCTGGACTCAAGGAGGGAGGGGGCTGTGTGCTGGTGGCCAGGGGGAAGGCTTGTTGGGGTGTACCCTTTTGTTATTTGAATGGTTATGTATTCCTGAGTGCTTCAGTATATATCCCAAAAAAAGTAGAGGGAATGAAACAGGGAATGGGGGAATTGAAGCAAATGCTGTTGAATGATGATGCATGGAGGGAATTGTAATCATTGTAATGAAGCGAAATACGATAGGATAAATGTAAAGCTGATGTTCTTCCATGTAAAGTATCACTTAATTCACAATAAAAACTTAAAAAAAAAAAAAAAAAAGATTAGTGGCCATGGAAAAGCTATACAGGGTCACTGCAAGTCAGAATCTATTCAATGGCAGTGGGTTTGGTATTTGGTTTATGCCTATGGTTATAATCCCATTTGGGAATGGGTTATCTTTGTTATGGTAATGAGAAAAGATTTGTGTAGGATGTGTCTTAGATCACTCTCTTTTGAGATTAAACAAGTGAACAGAGATAGGGTAGATAAATGCCAAGTATAAGACACATGAGATCGCCAAGGAACTAGGAAGCTAAAGCTGAAGAGACAAAGACCTTCCCCCAGAGCCAACAGAGACAGAAAATCTTCCCCTGGAGCTGAAACTCTGAATTCAGACTTCTAGCCTCCTAAACTGTGAGAAAATACAGTTCTGTTTGTTAAAGCCATCTCCTTGTGGTATTTCTGTCACAGCAGCACTGGATAAACTCAGACAGTGCCAGTGAAAAAAATCCCAGTTATTTCACATCAAGTCTGACTCATGGCAATCCCATGCGTCAGAATAGAACTGCACTCCATAGGATTTTCAATGGCTAATATTCACCATGCCTTTCTTCCAAGGTGCCTCGGTAGACTCCAATCTCCAACCTTTCTGTAACTCTTCATTTAAGCAAAGAATGAACAAATAAGTAACTGATGTATGTATGATGAACATGAACACTCAAAAGATAAGAACAAAAAAACATAAGATACAAGTCAGTGCCTGGTGCCCATGGGTGGGGGTCAAAGATGGAAGAAATGGAGACATGGAGGTCCCAGATCTCAATGTTGTGGGCTAAAGAAGCCATTTCTTCAATCAGCTGAGTAATTGAGTAAAGATGTTACTTTTGGTGATTCATTCAGCTAGCATTAGTGGAGCACCTTCCCACCCTTGCTTTCCTGAATGGTTCTCTGCCAGGTCTCCCACTCAATCTCCACTCATCCAGCCAGACTTGGCCTAGGAACCAGGTATAATAAGTCAAATAAGCAATGACCCCTCTTGAAAGAGGGACTCATTCTTTAGTGACTACTGAGTGTCTGGTTATGGTAATGGAAAATTTGGCAATGAATATTGGTGATGCTTACACAACATGTTTTATGTTATTGGTGTCACTAAATTATATACATGAATAACAGTGAATTCACTAATGCTGTGTTATACAACAATTACAAGAAAGGAAGGAAGGAAGAAATGTCCAGTCTCCATGGAGAACACACAGTTCAGCGATTCTGTTTCATCAGATGGACATCTTTTCTAGTTTCCAGATCAAGGTTGAAACTCTGGAAAGAAGAGGAGATATGGGGTATAAACAGATGGCCCTGGGGATGCTTACAGGAGTAGGATTTTATTTCTGGGCTGTGGCTTAAGATATCATAAGACTGCCTGGCCAGATGCCATGGTAAAGTGGATTTACTTGATACGTTTCTTCTATCATAGTCTTTATAACTCCCACCAAATGACTTGGTGGGACCATGCAAACAGGGTGTAGAGGATTCTAACTTGAGGATTGGTCAGCTTTGCTATTCCACTGGGTTTTAAAGGAACCATCTTCTAATGCCAGGACCATCAAGAAAGAAAAGCCACAAGTAGAGCATGAAG